CCCTACTCTCCTGTCCCTCTGTGTTTGGTCTCCTGGTAGATTGGTTTCCATCAGGGCCCATCAGGAAACCAGATACCATACTGTTTCAAAAGAGATCATTTAACATAAATAACTGGTACACAGATGTTGGCGGCATGAAAAACAAAAAGAGAACATGGTATCACAGAGCTATCAATGGAGGAAGCAGCTACCCCACAGGGCTGAAGGGAAGTAGGGAAGAGGCTGAAGTTCTCTCAGTGGAGAACCTGTGTGGAGGCGGAACTGTCTAGCTGAGGTTGCACCCAGTTCTGAAAGATCAATAAATAAATCAGTCAGAGCCTGGAACCAAGAGTGACTTTCACAGGTGGTGTTGCCAGCACCGGGAGGCAAACCAGAAGGAGCCCGTCCCTCTCCATCCTCCAAGCTGGTATCCTTACGTATCTAGCACCCTGTAAAGAAAAACAAGATTAAACCCTTACTTTATACTTCTGTGCTGACACCAGCTACACAAGTAGCACTTCTTCCTCTGAGTCTTAACCACCCAGATCTAGGTTATATGCCACAGTCTTCTAAATTGCCAAGTCCACCCAAGATGTCAGACACCAGTCTCCTGCTTGGGAGCTACAAATGTTTCTATTGTGTTTCACCTGAAGACTATAGATTTGTGATTTCTCCCCTACTATTTCAGGATTCCTGCCACCAGCTCAGTGGTCCCCAGCCCCTCACGTTCCCATTAATCTCTTGGGATCAATAACGTACTACAACCACTAACAGAGTTTACAGAAGCACTATACTTATGGCTACAGCTTTATTATTGAAAAAGGATACAAATTAGGACCTATACAAAGAAAGTAGCATAGGGTAGGGTCAGGGAATGCTCCCAACACAGAGCTTCCGTATCCAAAAAGAGATGCACTATTATCTCACTGTATTAATGTCTTTCACCAGCCACGCAGTTCAGGGAGCTTTACTGGGGCCTTCATTATATTATGATGATTGATTATCACAAGGTTGAGGTGGGTTTTTCTGGGCTACCCACAAGTCGCCTCATTAGCACAACCTGTTAGATTAGGTGTTGTCTGGGGAAGCAATCTTAGAAACCCTATCAGAATCAACTCATTATCAGTGGGTTTGGTTTTTGGTTCATGAAATGTCAAGGTTTTAGAGGTTATCTCTCAGAAACCAAGGACAAGATCCAAATTCTTTAGGGAGAGTTTATTTTAAGTCCCACATATCCCATATGAGCACAATCTCATAGGGAACCAGCTGGCAAAGGAGAAATTTTGTTTGGAGTCCAAGTCTCAGCATCATAAAACAGAGCATGGAAACATGAATGTGAAGCTAAGAGATAATGAATTCTCTGTTTATGCCTCTGTTTCACATCCTAACTCACAACAAACTAATTTACTTCAAAATACTACAAATAGGGACCAGTGAAGTAGCAGAGTAATTGAAAGTCAGCCCGAGTTCAACCAGAGTTGTGTTCGCCTGATGCAGACATTTTCGGATACCTTTGAGAAGCATGCTAAGTAAGAGATTGCTCTTAGGATCCTCATTGTTCTTACCTATGAAAAAGCGGGTTCCTCCAGAGCCATGTGCAGGCTTGCTTAAAACAATAAGCTTTTCTAACCCCCGAGCACAACAGACTCCGGGAGCATGGTCTGGATGCTTATCAAACAAGTTCCTGTGCTGGTCTCTGAAGTTTCTGGGCAAGTACAAACAACCGAGTCAAATAAATGCTTTTTAAAAGCAAGGCCGTGGAGCACGTACCCTGTCAGTGAGATCCTCATATTCCCACAGAGTAAACAGTAACATGAGAATATTTATACTAAACAAAACTGTATATCAAGCCTGCTTTGGCTCAGCCAGAGGGAATGATAAATTCCTTGCAGATCTTTCATAGAGTGGTCCTTTGTTGACCACGGACGCCACTTCAAGACAGTACAAACCAATTATAGAGCACGACTTTTCATTATGTCAACGAATGAAAATATTACCCCCATTTTGTTTTACAGTTATATTTTACTTACCACCACTCCCCACCCCCACTTAGTCCTTATGTTGAAGTAGCTTTAATTTATTATGATTCAAGCCCTAATTTAAGTTGGAAACAAAAGATGACCCTCCGTCACCAAGAACAAAAACCCTCACAGCCTAGCTTTTTTCATTGCTTTGTCCCTCGTCTAAGAAAATAAAGTATGAAGTTTAAAGTTTGGTAAAGCAAAAACACTGAAGAGTCGATAGACTGTAAACTGTATTTGTCTACATCGATTTCGTCCTCTGTATGTCTGGCACCAGTCAGTAATGAGCAAAATGACCTGGCAGGAGACGGAGGTTAAATGAGCTATGAAGCCACATGCATACAATGTCCACTTTATGGACAGATGGGAAAAAAATACTGAAAAAGCTTTTGCACAAACTGTCAGTCTGTATTTGAGAGGCCAATATGAGACAAGGTTAATATGAGGCAGGGTATTTGTGATTTCATTTTGCCAGATTTTCTCCTGATCTTATATTTTGTGCTGGAAGTCAAATCTAACGAGATAATTGCGACATTGGTTGTAACTACATGTGCTCTCCCCGATTCCCACACCCGGCGTCTTGATTTTACAGCTCCATCTCAGCTCCTGCTTATTAGAAAGAGCTGATGAAATTGTCTATTCATTTGAAAACGTTCACCAACTTACAGCTGGTTCAGACAGATCTAAAGTGTAGCGGTGGTGGCTGTGTACCATTGCATTCATTCTCATAGCCAGAATTCATAGTCTGGTTCTGACTCAGTTGGTTCTGACATACAGGGTCTCCAAACTTTATGGGAGCAGAAAACTTCATCTTTCTCCTGTAGAGCAGCTGGTAGATTCGAACTGCTGACCTTGTGTTTAGCAGCCCAACTCATAACCTATTATACTACCAGGGCTCCTCAAAGAACTACAGTAGAGCAAAGAAAAAGGAAGAAAAACAATAAAAAGGAGACTGTGAATATGAATGCAAGGCAAAAAGTGTGATTTGAAATATTATTTAGAGCAAAAATAATAAATTGGTGTTTTAAATAAACAGCTAGGTCAAAGGCCAAATTCAATCAATTCTATTTATAAATCATTCCTTAAACTTCACATGTAGTTCCAGAGTTTGGCACAACAGATTAAAAAATATGGGGGTAGTTCTTATCTGCATATATACATTAAAGGACTCTAGAAATTTGCCAACATTATACTCAGAACTATGGATTTGGTGAAATTATCTTATTCAAGTGTTTGATGTTTGATAGGCCTTGCTTAATGGCAATACTCTGGAAAAAAATTCTATGAATCTGTAGAGGTCAGTTCAGGTACCTGGCAAGTGAATCAACCTCCCCAGCAGCCCCAAATGACTCAGTGGCAGTAAAGTGCTAGAATGGATCTGGAAAGAGTCCTAGTAATACTTTCCATATTGATGCTACTGTTTACGAGGTGCTTCCATTTGAACCCCTACGAAAGGGTCAGGATGGCAACTATTTTCCCAGTTTACAAGTAATCTGGCTACATGGAAGGTAAATAGTAAGGCAAGAATCACAACTTAAGCCCCCATATTCAGTGTCCAGTGCCCTTTGTACTGTCTAGATTCACAGTCCAGCCATGTGGCCTCCCCAGAGTAAGGGTGGAAAAGAACTAGGTACTGATGTTTCCCACCTCTCACAGGCTGAGAAGCTGACCCATCGGGTCTAACTTAAACAGCATTTTTCTCTCTTCACCACAGGGATGGAAATTCCTTAGGTCAGAAAACAATGTCTAGCCCATCATGTTTCTGTTTTTGTTGTATATATATATTATCAATAAAAAGACCATACACACAAAATCACTATTCCAGAACAAAAGAAATACATGTAAATTTAAAAGTATTATACTATACCACCGAATCCTATAAAAACATTGAGTTCCTCCTCTTCCATGAAATATACTCACACTATATGCTCTTATTGTTGTTGTTGTTATGTGCCGTAGAGTTGGTTCTGACTCATAGCGACCCTGTACAGGGTTTCCGAAGCTGTAAATCTTTAAGGGAGCAGAAAGCCTCATCTTTCTCCCACGGAACAGCTGGTAGTTTCGAACTGCTAACCCTGAGGTTGGCAGCCCGATTCGTAACCACTACGCTCTTATTAGGTAAGGTATAATCCTTCTTGATAAAGAAAATCTATGGGAAAGTTCATTTTTCTTGATTTACGGACAACATCTTATCCTAAGGTAATACCAAGACTAAGTCTTTACATAATGTCACCAGCATTAATGAGTGACTTCTTTAAATTCACAAAAAGTTTACAAGCATCTTTTTTTTTTGCAAATAAAATTTCTTCCACTGATACCCTTCTCTTTGCTCAAAAGCAGTATATTCTCTAAGCATTCAGAATTTCCATTTAAAATCAAAAAAGGATAAACATAATTCCTTAAAGTTATGCCCCCAGACCACCATTCCATCTCTCTATATAAACAAGAAAATTAGGCAATCTGGCTTTTGGAGGTATCTTCAGACTGAACAGTAGGTCATTCAAGAAGCAGTGAAGCAAGGAAGCACAAGTACTCTTTGAAATGAGGATTTATTTTCGTAATTCTCTTTACTTCTTAGTCACTTGTTACTTGATTTTTAATAATTCTCACTTTAAAAGAATGATTACCCACAAAATGAGTTAGACACAGAATTTGACAATAAAGAGCTAAGGAAAACCAAACAAATCAAATCCATTATTATATCTAGTAACAATAATTAAAGGCTATTTTCTTTTACTCAACTGATTCTGGAGGGCTTCTAACCTATACAAGTTACTAGCACCTGATATAACATAGGTTCTCACAAAATTTTAACAATGACTAGAAATATCATAGGGTGATTTGGACAATCTAAAAGTACTTGCTGTTAAACAGAAAATGTTTCCAATTTTCACAGCCCAGCCAAGATCTTTGAATCAACCCCTCATCTTTACTGAGCAAAAGAAAAGTTTGTAATGACTGATATTTCTCCTCTAAATTTCAATGAAGTTTTAGATTAGATTACATGAAAACACCTTCCCGTTTCTTCCAGAATTCCCCAATACTTTCCCTTAGGGCATATTCAGCACAGTTTTTGCACTCTTGGGGTGTAAATCCAATGATTGCTCTTCCTATAGTACCAATTCCCCGATCACTTGCCAATTTTTGTATTTGAGCTTCTATATAATGAGGAGATATATACGAGAAATGGTTCCCAAGGATACTGTAAACCAGATATTGAGAGTCTTCTGAGGTTTCTCCACCTTCTTGGTCTTCAAAACTCTCTACGTTGCAAGCAATTTCAATGTTCCCATCATGGGGAAAAGCCATTGCCTGGACACCCTTCAGTCCAGTTGCACTGGAGCCCCGGATGGCACTAGCAATGTCTTTTCCTGCAATCAAGTCTTGAGACTCTATGGTGACGTTGCAATTCATCACGTAAGGGCTAGCGCCAACACCTACATCATCAGAAAAAGGAGGTTATTCAAGGAAAGCAATGCCTCATTTTGGAGATTTTGTTTCTTAATCAAAAGCGTTTCTTTACTTGTTTTTTTTTTCAAAATAAAATACTCAGGATCATTAGTCAGTGTTGTGTGTTGTTTTTGTTAAGTGCTGTCAAGTCGGTTCCGACTCATAGTGACCCTATGTAGGGTTACAAAGGAGCGGCTGGTAGGTTTGATCTTCCAACCTTGTAGTTAGCAGTCTAGTGCTTACCCTATAGCACCAGACCAGGACTTCCATCAGTCATTAGGGAAATATGAATCAAAAGTCCAATGAGATAGCACTTCACTCTCCCTAGGATCGCTATCAGCAGAAAAACTAACATGTTGGTGAGGATGTGAAGAAATTGGAACCCTTTTGCACTGCTGATGGGAATGTAAAATGGTGCAGTCACTATGGAAAGCTGTTTAGGTGTTCCTTAGAAAGTGAAACATAGAATTATCATATGACTCAGCAAAGTCAGGAAAGAATGCCATTATCTTTTAAATACCATTTCCCCATGATTTTTATGTTTTTGTCATTTTTTTTTTTTCTCTCTTAAGCTTTACATAACATATTGCATAAATGTCTGTGGCAGGGGTAGCTGAGAATAACGGAGGAGTTTTTCACCAATCAGAACATTCCTTCGTCAGTGTTCTCCAAACTCTTTGATACATAGTAACAATTCACCCCAAAGACATACCCAACTCTTCTCACCAAACATCACTGAGACAGAAAATGAGCAGCCTTTTCCTCCTCGCCCCCTATGAGTGAGTCTGGGGATGTATGCAGTGGTCACTTGGGGAATTATGAAGCATGTCGCCATGATAGTGATTCCAGGGAGACTCTCAAACCATATTGTGGCAGAACCTCCTTCGGGGACCACTTAAAAGTAACCTGGTCCCAGGAACTTTCTGAAGCTCCTCTCATATACCCAAGAGACTTTAAAGAAGGGACACAAATAGATAACCATGTACACTCATGAAGCATTCTTCACAACAAACAACAGTTGGAAACAGATGAATCGATGAACAAAATGTGGTATATACATACACTGGGATATTATTCAGCCACAAAGAAAAATGAAGTCCGAAGACATGATTTGACATAGATAAATCTTGACAACATTGTGCTCAGTGAAACAAGTAAGATACAAAAGGACAAACATTATATGATCCCACTTACATGAAATACCTAGAAAAGGCAACTATATAGAGAGCAAAGTTTATTAGTGGTCATCAGGAGCTGGAGGGAGTACGGAATGAGAGTTACTAACATAACAGAATGGTGCTGCTGGAAAACTTGGGAATGGATGGTGGCGATGGTTCCACAACAGAGTGAATATAATTAAAGTACACTTAAAAATAGTACAAATGGCAAACTTTTGTTATATGGATTTCACAGCAATAAAATGTTGGCGGGGGGCGGGGGGTTGGCAGGAGATAGGAGTAGGTCTAGGCTAGGCCCAGGGTTTCATGTAGTGTTAGGATTTTGGTTAAGAATAGGGTTAGTGTTAGAGTTAGGGGTTGGGTTAGGGTTAGGAGTAGGGTTTGGTCCAGTTTTAGGGTTACAGTTAGGTTCATTTATTTTTCCTGGAAATCTACTTGATTTCCTCTTCATTTAAGAGTTCTATAACTACACTATTGCCTCTTTTTACTTGGTTGCATTTGTTGTTGCAAACTGGCTCCCTCTTTTCAGTCTTGTCGGTTTGTTTGACTTTGGATCCTTCTCTATCTGGGTTGAGTTCTGCGCAACATTGTCATGTGTGTAAGTCTCAGGTTGTCATCTACTGTTGTTGGTTCTATGGCCAATTAACTCCCTTTAATATTTATTGTCAGATGACTATATGGTTTTTACAAATTCTTTTAATTTCTGTTTATCTGAAATGTCCTAATTTTGCCATCATATTTGAGGGACAATTTTGCTGGGCATATAATTCTTAGTTACCACTTTGTTTTCTCTTTCTGAGTTTGATATATATTATCCTGTTACCTTATTGACTGCATGTTTTTGACTGAGGAATCAGAGCTTAGTCTTATTAGTTCTCCTTTGTAGGCAACTTTTCATTATTCCTGAGCTGCTTTTAGAATTCTTTCCTTGTCTTTGGTTTTGGAGACTTTGATTATAATTATACAAGTTTTAAACATATAAATATCCATTTTTTAAAACTCTTTAGAATTTTTTAAAGATTTTAGAATCTTTTATGATTTATAAAAAATAACAGAACCATTTCAGCAGACAATTTCAGCTACTCTGAATATCTGGTGTGGTACCATGGAGTAAAACACTCAACCTCAAGGTCAGTTTGAATCACAAGGTCGGTGGTTCAAATTCACCAGCCACTTCTTGGAAGCCCTAAAACAGCGTCGATCTGAATCAGAACCAACTTGACAGTACTTAAGAAGAAGAACAATAAAAGTGTCTGAAGGATGTTTCTTTCTAGACTGGTAGAGAAGAGCCCAGACTTCCCAAAGTACCAACAGAGAGCAAAGCACTCTTGAGAATGAAGTGTCAGTAGCAATACAAGGCCTCAACCTTTCATGCATTTCCAAAATCTTCTCCAAGGAAGCTGGAATTCAGCTCCAGGCCTAAGACCTCAGAGACAGTTTATTACACTCTGTACCCACACCCCTCTACACAAACACCTGTCAATATTTAGTTAGGTAACATCAGGTTAAAATGAATCTCAACATCAGTCTTGGTTAGGGAAAGAGGTCATTAAAAAGCAACAAATAGCCTTGGAATTGAGGAGGGCAAAGGGACTCTCATCTCATAATGATGTGGGTTTGGCTGTGTCTGGAATGTTATGTAACTATAAACTTTGTGCCTTTCTTTTTGCACAAACTGTTGGAGGAAACTTTTTCTTTCATTCCCAGCTTCCAAGCCTCCCTCAGCCTGCCACTAGCACCCCAGAACTTTGATACACACTCTTGAGTCCAGGCGCTAACGTTCTGTTTTTTATCACCTCTGGGATGGCTGGCATAACACAAATAGCTCTGCTCAAATGATAGTTTATAACATGAACAACTTGGCTAAATTAGCATTAGTATAAAAAGCTCAGTTTCCTAATTTGAGGGGAACCTTACATTTCTAAAAGCAAAACTGACTTTGAGGAATCAAATCTGCTGCCCAAGATTTTTTTCAAGTGTTCAGGAACAAAGATGTCAGTTTGAGGACTAAGGTTCCCCTGACCCAAGCCATGCTATTTTAAATAGCCTCATGTGCTTGTGAAAAGTTGGATAATGAGTAAGGAAGACCATAGAAGCATTGATGCATTTGAGGCATGGTGTTGGAGGAGAATACTGAAATTACCATGGACTGCCAAAAGGGCAAATCAATTTGTGTTGGATGAAGCACAGCCAGAATGCTCCTTAGAAACCACAATGGATAGACTTCATCTCTCTTATTTCAGACATGTTATCAGAAGGTATCAGTTCCTAGAGAACGACTTCATGATTGGTAAAGTGAAGGGTCAGTGTAAAAGAGGAAGACCCCAACGAGATGGACTGGCACAGAGGCCGCAATGAGATGGTCCAGGACAGGGGAGAGTTTCTATTGTGCAGACAACAAACAACAACAACAACAAAAGGCTGACCTCAACTTCAGCATCTGACGATTCCTTAACTACCATTTCATGATTATTTTACTATCATTACCTTTTCTTGCCACTTCCAAATTTTTGCTCATGTTATTGGTACCCATCAGAGAAGTATCTTTTGAGTTGGCTCACTTCCCCGTAGATCACTGTGGTTTGGGGGCTTTGCTCCCAAGCCTGGTTACTCTCATGCTAATAGATGTTTCACAAAAAATCAGTACACCAAAACCGCATTTCATCTTTTCCCCACACATGCACATAATGAAACATTTCAACTCTCGAGGTTGGGCCTCTTCCTACTGGGAATTCTGCAGGAATGAATCAGATTACAGTATTTCTCCACAATGCTGATTTCATAAAAATTAAATTTTCTAACAGTCAATACATCTCTCTCCCATAATCTCATAGACCAGTCACTTACTCTAAATAGCTCTGAGAATTATGTGAGTGTTAACATTTCACAGAGTACAACTGGAAATTTCTTTGTCACTGTTAGTATTGTCATTCGTTAGTGAGAAACATCCACGCATGGTTTCTCTTTCCACCACTCCTCAACAGGCAGTGTGACAAACAGGCCCATTTCCTAAGATCTGATATGCAGCTACTCTCTTCTCACTCAAGACGTGGCAATGACTTTATCACTGATCCAACAAAATCACTGATTATACTCAGCTTTTGCCAAACACTCTAAACACAGTGGGGTTGCAGTCAGTCCTGAAATTAAAAAGATACACCAGGCTATTCCATAATTTTGATGTGCCAATCAGCATTAGATAACACATGTAATTCATCAGTTTAGGGGAGCAAGTCACTTTCAAATGAAGCTCCTTTTGGTCACAGGATGCCTGCCCCCATTACTACGCAAAGGGCATTTCATCCCTACTGTTGTTGCTGTTGCAACGGAGTCAGTTCTGACTCATAGCAACCCATTACAAGGTTTCCAAGGATCAGCTGGTGGGTTTGAACCAATGACATTACAGTTAGCAGTCCAGTATGTATCCTACCTACAGTGTCACATGAGGATTCCTTCATCTCTATTGTTGTTGTTGTTAAGTGCCGTCGAGTCGGTTCCTACCCATAGCGACCCTGTACAGGGTTTCCGAGGGTGTAAATCTTTACGGGAGTAGAAAGCCTCATCTTTCTCCCGCGGAGCGGCTGGTAGTTTCGAACCGCTGACCTTAAGGTTCGCAGCCCGAGTCGTAACCACTACGCTACCAGAGTCACTTCCTTCATCTCTATAGCCATGGAATTTTCCTGAATCTTCCACCTAGCATAGTTCAAGCTATCTTATACCATCATGAACCTAATAACTATCTCCTGTTCAGTAGAACTTCCGAACGTGATCATTCCTGCTAATAAATTAACTCATTACCTAAGAAAAATTATTAAAGGTAGAAATAGTTTAGCTGTTAAACCCTGAGTATGAGTTCCATAAAGAATAGACTTGTCCCAACACTAATTAATTAAAATGAAACCCTATTTTTAAAATTCCTTCAAAAGCATTTGCGTAGTGGTTACTAATCGGGCTGCGAACCGCAGGGTCAGCAGTTTGAAACTACCAGCTGCTCCGTGGGAGAAAGATGAGGCTTTCTACTCCCGTAAAGATTTACAGCCTCGGAAACCCTGTACAGGGTCGCTATGAGTCGGAACCGACTCCACGGCACATAACAACAACAACAACAACAACACTTCTGAGAAAAATGGAATTGAAATGCAGAAGTAACTTTTACAAGCTCTTTTAAATAAAATACGAGGTAAACAAAAACTACAGAAATAATCATGTTCTTGTATTGAACTTCAGTTATACTGTGGCTTTATTTTGTTGTATTGCTCTATTTCATTCAAGCAGTGAGTAAACAGAAACAGCTAATGAACCTGAAAAGTTTCTGACGTGATCAAGGTAGTAACTACTCCCTCCCTGAGAGGTTATGAAGCCATGACCCACTTCTTGCTTTCAAAAAAAGAAGAAAAGAAAACCACCTTTTCTGTCCAAATTCAAGCTTTTCCAATTTCCTCCACTTAATCCTTCCAAGTCCAACACCAACATGGTGATCTAATTGCAGTGAACCAAATTTTGAATTTAAATCCAGCGGTCCCATTGATATTATTCAAATGCTGAACCTGATTTTTTATGTTAATTTAAACCTAGTAAGAATTTTAAAATAAGAATCAAGGCCAGTAAATCATACTCTTAGTTAAATGTCATATAATTAAAAGTAATTTTTTTTTTTTTTCTCTCTAAAATTAGAAACCTGATGTGAAAGTGTGTTTCTCAGTTTGCGGTTTCACTCGGCTCCTGCCTCCCGCAGATTGGCACTCAGCTGCTTTGGTGGAGCACGCACCCCCTCACTGAGCAAGGCTGAAATCCCAATTTTATTCCAACGCAACTGTCACAACGCCCTGAAGCAAGCTAAAAACAAGAGAAAAAAATCCGTGGTATGATTTCACTTCCCATGTGTTCTTTAATGAAAAATTTATCATTCTAAATATTGGTGTTTACTCTTTCTTGGTTAAATACTTTTTATTTTTTTTATCAAAAAGAAAAAGAAACTGAGATTCAGTTGCTATTATTTCACAAGGAAATATAACAGGCCTGATGTTTCTCTGACAATTCTGTTATATTTCTTGTGTGGAAACACTGTATTTATCGTATACTGTACGGCTGGTGATTCAGACATTGTAGAGACCTTATGGTGAACTGATATAGATGTAAACTCTTTATGCCAGATTGTTTAAGCAGAAAAAACCCAAATGCACTTAATTAACATCTGATGTGTAGCTTTTGCAAACACAAATGCAATATTTGTGTTTGAGCACTGGCAGTAATGACTGTGAGCTATGCTATTAATGTCTGGTTTAAAGATGCTTGTGGTAGGACCGCGTCTGGAATAACACAAATAAAAACCTGCATTCAGACAAAACAATAGTGAAGAGCCCATTAGAAAAACGAAAAAGCAGCACTCTGGAGAAACACATGTATTTTTTTTTCTCCCTTTAGATCTAAATTATGCTCAAAAAAATAGTTCTAGGCATCATCGTTTTCAATAAATCAAAGGTGAAAAGTGTCTACATTTTTCTCTACAGAAAGAGTTTCATTTTAGGGGGTCAGCAGTTGCTTAGGGATGTCTTTAGAAACTCTATTTATTACATTACATTCCTCTTTTGTGGCTGGTATTAAAACAGAGAGTCAGCTGAGGTGGTGTTTTAGAATATTTGGCGTGTAAAAAATATGTATCTGAAGAAAGAACTTCAAATCTGTGGATTGCATTACAGTTTGAATAAATAGAGAAATTCGCATCGACCAATGTGAGACTTCTTCATTAGGTATGTTTTTACTGAACACATAGTGAGTGCCAAGGACTAAACAGGTTACTGGGTATAAAAACATGAAAAAAGTCACTAGCATACATTTGGTCTTTGGTTCATAATAATGGGACAAGACAACAGACTCTGAACCACAGGTTCAAAAACATAAGCCGTTTTGACACCAAAAGCAATTAGGCATCATTATGTATTGGTGCTTTGAATTTGTTAGAACACGTACTGGAGAGAAACCACAGCTGGAGCAGGATAGTTGATGACTCGAGCCATAAAACTCTAATATAACTGCTAAGTCCGATGCTCCCACAGAAGGAGGCGGCAGGCCTCTTACCCATGTGACTAAATCCACAGAAACAACAGCTAAAGGTGAACCATGAGGCACGTGGTTGGAAATTGCTCTGATGGCCCTGAACTCAAGTCTTACCTCTACGTGATACCTTCAAAAATATAAATAGAGGTAATTGGTACATTTTAGAATTTGGTGAGCATCTTTCTGCAAAATGGCTAAGAGGTTTTCGCACTCCACGAGGAGCTGTAAGCCTAAATTTATCAACTTTGGACCTTACAGAGCAATAGTGATCCTGAGGAAGAAATTCAGAGGTAGCACACTGTAACATCCTCATGCAGACAAGAAAGTCCAGTTGAGGGGAACTGCAGGACACTTGACTTTTCCAATAGTACAACAGTGCCTTTCCTGAGTTCATGCGAAACAGACTCTATGTCCTTCAAGTTTCAATTATAGGTTATATGTTTTAAAGACACTTCAAGGTTTTTATCATATCCTGCTTTTCCAACTAAACCTACTAGCAAACTTAAGACAATGAAAATAGGTTCCTTAGTACAAGACTCCTTTTGAAACTGGAAATGACTTTTCAAAGTCTAGGCTAAAATGTTTGGTATGGAGTAGACTGAGTTATTCAATGTTAAGAAAACTGCTTGATGCTGTACTTCTTATTTACAATACAGAGAAGAAAGCAGCAGTAGCTCTCAGGAACAAAAAAAATAAAGTCCCCAAATTCTAAAATGTACCAATCACCTCTATTTATATTTTTGAAGCTATCATAATATTAGGCGTTCTGTGGTGCTGTAGGATATGCATTGGACAGCTAACTGCAAGGTTAGCAGTTCAAACCTACAAGCCACTCTACAGGAGAAAGATGAGGCTTTCTGCTCCTGTATAGATTTAGAGTCTCGGAAACCCTATATGGGGTCACTCTGAGTCTCAGTCGACTTGATGGCAGTGAGTTTTGAGTGGTAGAAGGCATCATATGAAATGATAGTGTGGCACTGTAGGGTAAGTACTGGACCGCAAGATTGGTTTGAATCGCAAGCTCAGCAGTTCAAACTCACAAGCCACTCCTTAGAAACCCTAATCAGGGTCGTTGTAAGTTGGAACCAACTCGATGGCACTTAACAAGAACAATATTTTTTAACAATACTGCAGACATGTAAGTAGTTCATACAGCATGTAAGACAGCAAAGTTTAGATGGCCCCATAAATATTTAGGATTTTAAAATATATGTATAATGTGTTTATTTATAGATATAAAATTATCAACTATTACTGCTTTATACCCTCATTTATGTTCCTCACGAACTGGCTAACTACAAAATTTTAAGAGGAACTTGGCTTGAATAATTTTGTGTGTTTGGCATGAACTAAGGGTGTTAATCATTTCTAAGCTCACTTTTTCCCTCTTCTGTTTATAACATTTTTAGGGAACTTCAAAACAGAAACCTGTCCCCTTATAGATTCAGCTTTCTAGTGGGTAAATGCGCAAATTAATGTGTCACTGGAATGTTGACCGTAAGTGTTAAGCTGATAGCACCAATTATTTCTATTTAATCTTGTTTTAGGAAGAGAAACAAACATAGCAACAATGTGTTGAGGTTTTTCTGTTTTGATGGGGAGAGTGGAAAAATATGTTGAGAAACACTGATGTAACCAAAAAAATGTTAGAAAAATAAACAAAACCATTAGATTTGAAAATGAGGGTAGAAATCACTATGGTTTGAAACCAAATTTATTAAAAAATTAGATGACTAACATTTTTACCCTAATGATAAAGGTGTTATAAATCCTACTTCAAAAATAAAAAGCATTTGTTTCAAAAATAAATTATTTTGTTTTTAAGGGAGAAGATGTGCAATTAAGGTGAACTAAGATTTCAATTAATTATGTTTCTTAGTCTAATTGCAGTCAGTAGAATATTAGAAATTACCCATCTATCCACATCCCTCCCTATTCACTGTCCCTCCTTGACTACATTTTATTTTTCTGCTTCTAACATTTGCTTTGAACCTACTAAATGAGGTGTCATTCTTGGTGGAACTGCTAGGATGCTGCGGTGAAGGTTGCTTTATTCTACCTTGGCAACTTACATAATTTTCACATTTCTTGGACAAACTAGGTTGTCAGGAGATCTTACTCTTTCCAGGAGATACTTTTGAAATGGATACAATGGCTTATGCTACATTTTCCTTCTTATCCTGTAGAAAAATATTCTGAATCCTTCATTAAATCTCATCTAACTGGAGGCATTTAACTCAGCTTTTATAAAATTGAATACTAAGAAATCTTAGTAATTGCTCTTTGGGAAGAATGGGAAATAATCACAAAATCGACTTACAGATATTATGAAAATAAGTCAGAAGCTATAATAATTTTAAAACATCATCCTGATATATGGTATATATGAAGGTGAGTCAAAAAGAATTTCAACAAAATCACAGAAATCTTTATTAAGCAAAATATAAAATGTGAAGCTATTATTTCTCAACATATCCTCAATCTAGGCCTATACATTTCTTAAATTATTGTTTCCAATTCTCTTAACTGTTCACCCAAAGAGTTCTTCATTCTTTGATTTACAGGACATCAAAACGGCAGTTTGGGCATCCTGTGTTTGCATGCCACTGAGTCAGTTCAGACTCACAGTGACCTGGTATAGCACTTCTGGGAACGGCTGGTCCATCTGACTTGCTGACCTTGTGGTTAACAGTCCAGTGCTTATTCTACAGTTCCACACCAGCATCCTAGAGGAACTCAAATCGTGTTCTTTATAATAGTCTTTGCATTTGGGGAACAAAAATCAGTCTGAAGGGGTAAGATTAGGGGTATAGGCTACATGGGCTAAGGTTTTCTGAAGAAATTCTCATAGAACAGCCCCTTCTACCCTCAAAGAATGAACAGGCGAATTGCTGTGATGGAAAAGAAAGAAAGAAAAAAAAAAACCACCTAACTCCTTGGTGCAACTTTTCTGGCCTATTACTCATCAGTGGAGTTTTCAATGTTCTTACAACAACTGTTTAGAAGTTTCTGTGATCGTCCTACGTCCTTGGAGAAAATCTATCAAGTGTATCCCTTGGAAGTAACACAGCCACCATAACCTTACAATCTGCCCTCTCTGCCTTGAATTTTACTGGTCCTGCAAAAGTCAATGTTTTGATGGAACTTTTTTCTGAAGGCACCCAACAAGACTAAGACAGTGTATTACTAAGAAAACTTATCTGCAACCACCCACCCACCATACAGACATATTTAAACGCATTTTGTTTGGAATAAACCCAAGCATGTATAAACTGGAACCCAAGCAGCAATACTAGGTATTGTGTGTGTGTGTATGTGTGTATGTATGTATTTTGTAATACTGCAACCACAGTTTATGCTACTTTACATCCTTTGACCTTTGACTGACAATCCTCTCTGCCTAAAACTCTTTCCCCAATTACCACAAGGCTACTCTAAGGACTTTTGTTCTCTGAAGTCTTTATTAACACTGCCTCCACAATGAGATCTACTTCAGATTGTTGTTGTTGTTAAGCGCAGTGGAGTTGGTTCCGACTCATAGCGACCCTGTATAGGGTTTCCGAGGAGCGGCTGGTGAGCTTGAACCACCACCCTTGAGGTTCAAACCGACTTTGCAGTCCAGTGCATTAACCCACAGCACAACACTAGGACCCCTACTTTAGATTATCCCGTTCTAAATCACAATCACTCCATCCCAGAATTCTTTATTTTTTCTGTAGCACTTATCACTTTCTAACATACTATGCAATTCAGATAGTTCTTAAGTCCACTGTTTATTATCTATCTCCCAGTAGAACCTAATTCTATAAACACTTAGAAGTTCTCTGGACATGTTATTGGGAGGGACCGGTTCTTGGGGAAGAACATCATGCTTGGTAAGCAAAAAAGAGGACGACCATCAATGAGATGGGTTGACAAAAGGGCAGTGACGATGGACTCAAAGACAGCAGCAACTATGACGATGGCAAACAGCGGGGCAGTATTTTGTTCTGTAGTACACAGGGTCGGTAGGAGTTGTAACGGACTCGACGGCACCTAACAGCAATAATAACACGTTCTATTTTGCCTACTGATGGAAGTGTCTGGCACATTGTTGCCAAGGGCCGTCAAGTCAGTTCTGACTCAGAACGACCCTGTATAGGGTTTCCAAGACTGTAAATCTTTGCAGGAGCAAAAATCCTCATCTTTCAACTGAGTGTCTGCCACATAGTAGATAAGTAATAAATGTCTGTTTTATTAATTAACTACAGATTCTCTATATATTGTATTTTCCATGTCTTTAAAAAATACTTCCTAAACTTCATGCTTAACTATAGTCTTTACTTTAAATATAGTAGACTTCATTGTTGTTGCTCAGCGCTGTGGAGTTGGTTCTGACTCATAATGACCCTGTGTAGCGTTTCCAAGGCTGTAAATCTCTGTGAGAACAGAAAGGCTCATCGTTCTCCTCTAGAGCAGCTGGGGACTTGTGATTCACAGTCTAGTGCTTATTGTCCGGAGCCACAGCATGCCTCTGCTAGACTTTAATCACTCCCAAATACTAAACATTTACATTGTTTTTGGTGTTTGTTATTATTAACAATGCTTCCAGGTATTATTGCTTTTGTTATTTACCTACAATTTATTATTAGAATGAAAATTTCTGAAAGGTAACAATATACATTTTAGGAGTTTTAGACACAAATCTAATGTTGACCTTAGTTCTTGTTTTCAGATGCTGGACACCAGGGAAAGAAAAGATTTTCTTTTTAGTGACCTTTGTTAGTTATTAGTAATCAATGAGGGAACAAACACCCTGAGTTCCAGGTCCCTCCAGAACAGAATTATAACACCACTGGACTCCTGGAGGGTAAGCACTGGACTGAAAACCACAAGGTCAGTGGTTCAGACCCACCAGCTGCTCCTCGGAAACCCTATACAGGGTTGCTATGAGTCAAAGGCACTTAACACCAGAATATACCAGTTTATACTGGCATTAGCAGTGTGAGTACATCTAACTACATTTTCACCAGTATTAAATATTATCCTTAAGATACCCTGTTTAAATAATTTTTATGCTAATTTTGACATCTTGAAGTTGTAAGTTAAACCTTGTAGATTTTGATGAACTTCTCTACATAAAGCAAAGATCATGTAGGGTAAAACTAAAGAAAATATTAGAAATCCCGACTAGTTGTCTATTTGAAATGAAATAACGTAAAATATATATATATATATATGTTGTTTGTTTGTTTTTTTAAAGATAAAGATGATCTCAACCACAGGCAACCATAAAAGATGACTGGAAACAGTGTTCACTTTGGTTTAAATAATTAGAAATCCAATTTGTTCTTAGGATGGGTAATATAATTAGTGATGATATTAACCTGTTTTTTGTGTGAGGTTAAAATTCTTCTCCAATGTCAATCCATTCATTCTCAAAGCACCACAAAAATGAGAATTAAGTTATTCATGTATTTGCTTAAGCAAATGCTAGCTAACTCCAGTTCTTCTATAGTCTAATATTAGGGTTCCAATTTTCAATTCTTGACCCTTTGACTTTAATCCCAGTCCACTTAACACTGAACTGAAAGGTTTACAGTATTATCCCTTCAGTCTGTTGCTGTTGTTGTTAGGTTCCATCGAGTCGATACCAACTCATAGCGACCTTATTATGCACAGCGGAACGAAACACTGCCTGATCCTGGGCCAACCTCACTACTGTTGCCACGCTTGAGTCTATCGATGCTGCCACTTGGCCAATCCATCTCATTGGGGGGGTCTTCCTCTTTTTCTCTGACCCTCCACCATACCAAACATGATATCCTTCTCCAGCAACCGGTCCCTCCTGACAATATGACCGAAATATGAGAGACAAAGTTTGGCCATCCTGGCCTCCAAGGAGCACTCTGGCTGCACTTCTTCCAACAAAGATCTGTTGGTTCTTTTTTGGCAGCCCATGGCACTTTCAGTATTCTCCTCCAACACCATAACTCAAAAGCAGCAATTCTTCTACAGTATTCCTTATTCACTGTCCAGCTTTCACGTGCATATGAGGTTATTGAAAATACCATGGCTTAGGTCAAGCACACCTTAGTCCTCAAGCTGACATCTTTGCTCTTCAACACTTTAAAAAGGTCTTGTGCAGCAGATTTGCTAATGCAATGCGTCATTTGATTTCTTGACTGCTGCTTCTGTGAGTGTTGATAGTTGATCCACGAAGAATGAAGTCCTTGACAACGTCAATCTTTCCTCCGTTGATAAGAATGTTGTTTATTGGTCCAGTGCTCATCTGTCAGTTTGTCGTGCTGTGGTGGCTTGTGAGTTGCTGTGATTCTGAAAGCTATGCCACCGTTATTTTAAATACCAGCAGGGTCACCCATGGTGGACAGGTTTCAGATGAGCTTCCAGATGAAGACAGACTAAGAAGAAGGAGTGACGAACTACTTCTGAATATTTAGTCACTGAAAACCTTTTGAATAGCAGAGAAACACTTCAGTCTTTAGTGAAGCTCAAATTGGAAACCAGGAAATAGATTTCAGAAAACATAGTCACAGAACTTACACTTCTCCATTTGTGAGACAAATCATGGGAAAATATGTGAGGTTCAAATTGGCAGGGAACAGTTTGCTCCTTCTTTCCATAACTAAATACTGAACCACATTTATAATAACTTTTTAAAAATTTATGTTTTAGTTCAAAAAATTTCTTTATAGGGAAGGAAAAAAATGACCATTTAGTACCATCCTCAGTTTTTTACAGACATGTTTTTTACTTCGTATTCTTATAAGGCAGATACTATTAAGTCCATTTCACAAATATGAGAACTGGTGCTAAAGGAGATGAAGCAACATTTCAAGGTCACACAGCCAGTAAACAGCAGACTATATTTGAGCTTAGTGCCAAAGCCTGGGCTTTTTTTTTTTTTTAAACTGCATTTCTTGACTTGATTATGAATACCGTCATTTGTTTGAGAGCAGAATTCTGCACCAGAACTTAGTAACCAAAGGCATATGTGTAGATGATTCTGAAGGACTTTGGCATAGGCAGGCCACAGAGAAATGTGTTTCTTATGTTCAACCACCTCTTGCTCCTTGGGTATCGATTCTTTCAAGTGGTTAAATGATCAGCTGCTAACCAAGAGGTCAGAAGATCAAACCCACTAGTCACTGAGTGGGAGTCTGCCTCTGCAGAGATGATAGCCTTGGAAATGCTATGGGACAGTCCTTCCCCATCCTAGAAGGTCATTATGAGTCAGAATTGACTCAACAGCAATGGATCATTGCAGTCCTGGGAGATGAAAACAGCTAATGCACTCAATTGCTGCTAATTGAAAGGTCAGAGATGTAAGTCCTCGGAAAAAAAAGGTCTGGTGATGTCCTTCTGAAAAGCCAGCCACGGAAGGCATACTTCTTCTCTGACATACATGGGCTGCCATGAGTCAGAGTCCAGTCTATGGTAACTGGCTTTAAGGTGTTACTGAACATCCAGATGTTATCTAACATGGTCCAATTTATGACCCCTACAGAAAGCATTTAAGGAGCTATAGTAGTGTAGTGGTTACGAATCGGGCTACTAACCTCAAGGTCAGCAGTTCGAAACTACCAGACATTCCGAGGGAGAAGAGATGAGGCTTTCTACTCCCATAAAGATTTACAGCCTCGGAAACCCTGTGCAGGGTCACTAGGAGTCAGAACCGACTCCACGGCACTTAACAACAACCACCACTGAAAGCATTTGAGAATAAAGACGCAAATAAAGGACACTGGGTCAGTGGAGTATAAAGTAACCAGGATGTTGTTTGGGAGGAGGGCACTACTTTCTTATTCTAAGAGAAGTTCTAAGCACAGGATGGCAGGGATGGGGCTGGAGTAGCAGCAAGAGACAAGCTAGGGAGAGCCAACTCTTGTTTTTTTCTGTTTTAGGCGACCACTGTCTAGAAACATTCTAACTCAAGTTGCTGTCACAACTAATCAGCAGTTTCAAGTACCAACGTGCTCATGCTGGATGTTCAAGTACTAAAATTCTCTCCAACCTGCTGAAAAGTAAATGCCATCCAAGTCCCAAGGAGCCCTGTTGGCACAACAAGTTAAGCATTGGGTTGGTGGTTCAAATCCACCAGAGGACCCACTGGAAAGCGATGAGGCTGTCTGCTCCCATAAAGATTTACAGTCTCAGAAATGCCAGGGAGCAGTTCCACATTGTCCTACAGGGTCGCTGTGAGTTGGAATCAACTTGATGGCAGTGGGTGGTTATCGAAGTCCCTACCTGCCAAGTGCCCACTCTAGAACACACATCTCCATCACCATAACAGGAGGTCTCGGGATCCTGTCCAGGGCTAGCATCCCTTCCCATCAACATCAGCCATGATGCATGAGCGGTTACATAGCTTGAATATCACTCCTTAGGGCCCTCATCAATGCCCGCTCAGCTTATAGGTAAGACTAGGAGCCGAGAGGAGACCCTCATCAGATTCAAGAAGGAGTTATGACTGTAACCCTCCCTGCCATTTTACAGAACAACTAAGTAAGGGACCCCAGGACTCTATTATCAAGTTTTCAGAAAGAAACAAAACAGAACAAAATGTTACCGAACCTGTTAAACCACACCTTGGTGCAGGTGTGGAGCCTAGGTCAGGTTTCAGAGTACTGAGCTTCCTCCTTGTGAACCAGCCCAGCTGCTTCCTTCGCTGGACAAGACTGCGCTTCTCAGGCAGGTCAGCTTCACCGAAGAGAAAGACACTGCAGCCAGGACCACGCAGGACCAGGTGCTCCGCCAGGCCTACAGGCAGTACAGAGGGCAATCTTTACAAATCCTGCTGAAAATCAAAAGCTGGGGCATGATGAATTCTTCCTTAAAGATAGTTCCCAAATGTAAGTGTCTCTTTTATAATCAGCTGCCATCAAATCAAATCTAACTCATGGCAAACCCCATGAGTATCAGAGTAGAACTATACTCCATAGGATTTGCAATGATTTATTTGCTGGAAGTAGAACCCAGCCACACCTTCCTTCGGAACCTTCTCAGGGTGGGCTCAAACTTCCAATTCTTCATTTAGCAGTCAAGCACATTTAACATTCACACTCTCCAGGAACTCTCATCTTCACATAAAGAGGCTACAATTCCAAACCCAACTAATTTCACAAGGAAAATTTATCAGTAAGATTAATGAAATTAGTGACTTTAAGGACAATTTTATGATAGCCCCAACTTGTATACACTATTAAGAGATATAAAAAGGTAAGACTGGAAGGGCCAGATCCGCACTTCCCAATATAGTAACGACTACCTTGTTGCAGGTGAAAGATGAGGCTTTCTGTTCCCACAAAGATTTAAATTAAAGCCTTGGACACACTACAGGATCACTGAGTCAGAACCAACTCAACGGCATTAACAACAATGACAACCTTGTTGCTGTTAGGTGCCACTGGATTGGTTCTAACTCATAGTGACCCTGTGCACAAATGAATGAAGCACTGTCCAGTCGTGTGTCATCATCACAATTGTTGCTATGTTTGTGTCCATTGTTGCTACCACTGTCTCAATCCATCTCATTGAGAGTCTTCCTTTTTGTTGCTGGTCCTTCTCTAATTTACTAGCATGGTTTCTTTTCTAGGACTGGGTCTCTCCTGATAACACGTAAAAGTACGTAAGATGAAGACTTACTGTATTTGTTTCTAAGGAGTTTTCTGGGTGTACTTCTGCAAACTTGTTCTTTTGACAGTCCATGGCACCATCAATAGTTTTCACTAACACCAGGATTCAAGTGCACTGATTCTTCTATAGTCTTCCACAGTCATTGTGAAGCTTTCACATGCACATGAGGCCACTGAAAACACCAGGGCTTGGGTCAGGCACACTTCACTCCTCAAAGTGACCTTTTGCCCTTTGATACTTTAAAGAATTCTTTTGCATCAGAATTGCCTAATGTAGCATGTCATTTGATTTCTTGACTGCTGCTTTCGTGAGTGCTGATTATGAATCCAAGTAAAATCTTCAGCAACTTCAATACTTTGCCATTTATCATGATGTTATTTACTGGTCCAGTTGTGAGGATTATCACAGTTTTTTTGTTTTGTTTATTTTTTACGTAGAGGTGCAGTCCATACTGAAGAATATACTTTTTGATTTCATTAGTAAGTACTTCAAGTCCCCGTCCCTTCCCACAAGAAAGGTTATGTTATTTGCATATCGCAAGTTGTTGATGAGTCTTCCTCCAATCCTGATGTCAAATTCTTCTACATATAATACAGTTTCTGGGATTATTTGCTCAGTATACAGACTGAATAAATACAGTGAAAGGATTCAACTCTGATGCATATCTTACCTGATTTTTAAACCATTCAGTAGCCCCTTGTTTTGTCTGAACCACTGTTGCTTGGTCTATTATATATGGGCCCCTCATGAACACAATTAAGTGTTCTGGAATATCTATTCTGCACAATGTTATCCAGGCATTTATTATTATCTAGAGGCTTTCTAATCCCGTAAAGATTTACACCCTCGGAAACCCTGTACAGGGTCGCTATGGGTCGGACCCGACTCGATGGCACTTAACAACAACAACAACAACAACAGTGTTGAATGCCTTTGAATAATCAATAAAACTCAAGTAAACATCTTTCTGGTATTCTCTGCCTTCAGCAAGATCCATTTCATGTCAACAACAATATCCTTCATTCCACATCCTCTTTTGAATCCAGCTTAAAGGTTGGGCAGCTTACTGTCAATGACTGCTGCAACCATTTTTTAATTACCTTCAGAAACATTTTACTTCAATGTGACATTGAGCAATATTAATATTATTCCATATTCCTTGGGTCACCTCTCTTTGGAATGGTCATAAATTGATTAGCCAGGTAGCTGTCTTCCAAATAGACAAGTGAAGACCTGCAGTGATACATCACTTTGTTGAAACATTTCAATTTGTGTTCCATCGATTCCTGGAACCTTGTTTTTCACCAATGCCTTCAGTGCAGCTTGGACTTCTTCCTTCAGTACCACTGGTTCTTGATCATATGTTACCTCCTGAAATGAATATCAACCAGTTCTTTTTGATACAGTGACTCTGTGTATTTCTTCCATCTTATTTTGATGTTTCTTGCATTATTCAATATTTCTCACATGTTGTTGTTTTTAAGTGCTGTCGAATCGGTTGTGATGCATAGCAACCCTATATAGGATTTCCAAGACTGGAAATCTTTGCAAGAGCAGAAAGCTTCATCTTTTCTCCTGCAGAGCAACTGTTGGGCTTGAACCGCTGACCTTGGATCTACAATTAACATTCATGGAAGCAGCAGTCAAGAAATTAAATGACCTATTACATTTGGCAAATACACTGCAAAAGACCTCTTTAAAGTATTAAACAGCTAAGAGATCAGTTTGAGGATTAAGGTATGCCTGACCCATGGCATGGTAATTTCAATCACTTCATAAGCATGTGAATGTTCGACAATGAATATGGAAGACTTTAGAAGAATCTGATGCATTTGAATTGTGGTATTAGAGAAGAATATTAAAAGAAAGATGAAGCTTTCTGCTCCCATAAAGATTTTACAGCCTCAGAAACCCTATACAGTGTCGCTTTGAGTTAGAACTGACTCCACAGCACATAACCACCACCACCACTACCCTGGACTGCCAGAAGAACAAACAAACCTGTCCTGAAAGAATGACAGCTAGAATTCTCCTTAGAAGTCAGGATGGCAGCAACCATCTCTCTTCTCTACTTTAGACATATGATCAGGAGAGACCAATCCCTGAAGAAGGACATCATGCATGGTACAGTGGAAGGTTATTGAAAAAAAGGAAGACCCTCAACAAGATGGATTGACAAGGTGGTAACAACAATCGACTCAAATGTATCAACTGTGAGGATCGTGCAGGACCGGGTAGTGTTTTGTCTTGTTGTGTATAGGGTCACTGTGTCAGAACTGACTCAACACCACCTAACAACAACAACAATAAAATAATTGTTCCAGGCAAAGAACATCAGTGGGTAAAATGTCTGTACAATCTGACTGGGAACTTTACAATGACAGACAAAGATAATTCATTTTTACATCACTAGCAGTGAGACAAGCAGACATTGTGGCCTCCTGGTACAATACAGCAGGTTTCCTGGCAGTGTACTGGGTAAGTGTCCAGCTGCTAACTGAAAGGTCTGCAGTTTGAACCCACCAGCAGCTCTGCAGGAGAAAGAAGTAACAGTCCTCACTCATAAAAATTGTTGTTGTTAAATGCCATGAATTAGTTCCGACTTACAGCAACCCTCTATAGGGTTTCTGAGGAGTGGCTGCTGAAGCTCAATCAAATTTCTAGAACTAAAGTATAGATACAAGAAATGTAGGGGAGAGACAGAGATGACATGACACCAAACAGAAGAAGCGAACAAATTCACAATGAGTATGTTCTACAGGACTAAAATTGACACAGTTTAGGCAACAAATGAATCGCAAAGGAAATAAGGGTGAACAAGGGACTGGTCTAGAGCAAAACAAAACAAAACTCAGACTCATACAAAAAGTCTAGCCTTAAAGGTCTGGTCGAGATGGATGGAACCCCCCAAACTATGGCCCTTAGATGCCCTTGAAACTTGGAACTGAACTCACCCTTGGGACTCAATTTTCAGCCAAACAATGTTATTGTTGTTGTTGTTGTTAAGTGTCGCCAATCAGTTCCAATTCATAGGGTTTCTCAAGAGTGGATGGTAAGCTTGAACCACCAACCTTGTGGTTCAAACAGACCTTGCAGTCCAACACATTAGCCTACTGCGCCACACCAGGATTCCAGCCAAACAATGGTGGTGGTGGTGTACCGTGGAGTCAGTTCTAACTCACATAGGGTCAGTTCTAACAGTGCATACGGTTTCTGAAGCTGTAAATCTTTACAGGAGCAGAAAGCCTCATCTTTCTCCCACAGAACAGCTGGTAGTTTTAAACTGCTGACCGTGAGAGCAACAGCCCGACTTGTAACCACTACGTTACCAGAGATCCTTCAGTCAAACAACAGACAGACCTGTAAGATAAACTTTAACACCAGAAAGGTACAAAGCCTTTATAACAATCCAACCATACAAGATCAAAAGGGCAACATTTGCTAAGGGAGAAAGCTCAGAGAACTGACAGGAAAGACAGACAACTGGAAATGGGAAACACAGGGAGGAAGTGGGAAGATTAATGCTCCACTGTGGGGCAATCAATGTCACAAAACAAAACGTAGGAATTATTGAATGGGAAACCAATTTGCTCTGTAAATTTTCACACAAATCACAATAAAAAATTAGAAAGAGAAACTCAGATACAACTATCAGTGTGATGTGTGAATTACTTGTAGGACCAGAGTCCAACAAATCCACTAGAGGAATATCTTTTCTAGGACTATATATATACACTGTTCTTGTGGTTGTTAAGTGCTGTTGAGTCAGTTCCAACTCACAGCAACCCTGTCTAGGGTTTCTCAGGAGTGGATGGTGAGTCGGGATCACCAACCTTACAGTTCTGTTTATCCTACCAGGACTCCATACAATGATGTTGTTAAGTGCCGTTGAGTCTTTCCTACCCATAGCAACCCTGCATAGGGTTTCTGAGGAGCAAATAGTGAGCTTGAACCGCCGATCTTTACAGTCCAGCTCATTAAACTACAGTGCCACACCAGGAATGCATACAATGCTAGATGGCACAAAATAATGACCATTTTGGCAATTGTGGTATTGTAGTTTTACAAGAATATATCCATATTGCTTAGAGATGTCCATTAAATATTTAGGGATGAAATACCCA